GCCGAGTTATCAGCCAAACGTCCAATAGACTGATTTATGAGTGGCCCGATGTGTTTAACTTTAAATGTTTTTTTTTGTTAATTAAAAATAAATTTGTATTTTTTGATAGCGGAATCATAATAAATGCATATTATATGGCACGATGTAACATTCTTATAGAATTTTGTAGAAGAAATTCGGGTTTCTATATCGAATCTGACACCGATAATAATTGAAATTGAATTGACCCATAATATTTGTAATATTTCTAAAAGTCTTTCTTTATAAATCAATATAATATTAAAATACTTAAGTTTTTACTATTTTGTAATATTATTATTATATTTAGCTTTTTTGGTTCGTTTTAACTTTATAGTGCCAAAAGCGGCGAAAGACGAAGGAAAATACTGTATTTTGCTTGGGTTTGGTTAGATACAATATTGACATTTTAATAAGACATTCCTATCCCACATAGATCCATCCCACGATCAATTGAATAGGTTTAATAAAAAAAAAAAAAAAAAAAATATTTTTTAGCATTGAAAAATGATGTACATAAAAAATCAAGTTCGATTTATATTTGCTTTTCATAGAAATCTATAATTTTATTCTAATCTAAGATTTGGGGTTGCCCTGCCGGTCCCGAACGGACGTTGTGCGCAAACACAACTGTCCGCCGCAACAAAACCACCCCGCGGGCGATCACCCACATCCGTTTTTGGATCATTAATCCCCCACGGCCGGCGTCACGTGCTTTCTCGTAGAAAATACTTAGTTCGATCTAAGACGCTGGTACTAGAGATCCAGCCGTCCGACTGCCATTTAGCTGGCTTACGCAAACTGGTTGGCTGTGCTGCGTCATATTTGGTGTCAGGGACTAAGAGTTCCCTTAACTTGACCGCGATACTTTGCACTTAGTCGGGCCGCTCCCTTTGTGGAAGTATAGCCCGCGCGAATCGCTCGAGAGCCACGAGTGACCGGGAAGATGCCACCAGGTTGGCAGCACTCCATGGTCCCGGATCCCAGAGGTGCACAGGGCCTCAGTTAGTTGCGATCGTAGCTCAGCTGACAGGCTGACAGTGCAAAAAAACATGCCACGAGTCCTTCGTGAGGTACCCGTTGCAGTCGCTCACCGTTTTTATTCTAATCTATATGAAAAGTTTCTCACTTGATATTCAAAACAAGAGTGCAGTCACTGTCCTATTTTTATCTCGAAATTCAACCTCTAAAGACTGACTGACGTAAAGCTATTGATATTTTTGGAATAAAAGTAATAACCTTTGTTTATTGATTTATGGGATACCTTGGAGACAAGCATAAAATAAACCAGTTAATATTTTTTAATTTGGTTGTAATGATCAATGAACAACTTTTAAAAGATAAATAACTAAGCAATTAATATTTACTATGATAAGCATAAAGGTGAGCTCGGGAAATACTGATTAATTCAGCTAGTAACTAATAAAAAAATAATCATTAAACATCTGCATTACTTATTCAACCAAGAACAAATAATTGTAATACAAAATTATGTAGTTTGCAAACCATTTTTTTTTTTAGCTAAGCCTTTCCCCTGTTGAAAAATCATGGATACGTTACTGACCATTAGAATTGTACAGTAATACCTTATAAAAAGTGTTTTGGCTAAAATATTTTCCCTTAAAACAAAAATGTTTGGTGAATATTAAGGAAGGAATGATAATGATATTAATTTAGTAATGAAAGTTTTTACAAATATGTGGTCCAAATATGCGTTTATGTTTCTCTAAAGAATAATTGTAATTAGATATTCTATAAATATGGTATCAGGAAATAGTAAAAATTGAAATTAACTACTCTTATATATTTGCCAGGTAGGCATTTTTGAGCCACTCCATCTCTGTTTTAAACCATTAGAGTAAAATAAAAAAAATAAACCTGAACTCCATCTATATAGCTTTCTATTCTTGTATCAACATACATTGGAGAACGTTCAGATTGTACGATAATTTGGAAACTCAGTACTCCTTGTCTTTCGATCACTAAACTGAAAACTATATATCCAAGTTGTTCCTAAAATACAAATTAATACATTCAAGGCTCGATGAAAAAATTATTGTTTCAATATATAATGTATTCATAAATATACCTTTGTACGCAAAGTATGAAAACAAGATTCCATAACGATTTGATTAAATAAATTAACTATCATATTATTGAGTGTGGACTGGACACCACATTGAAGATTAAAGGTAACACACGAACTGCTGTGATAATTATTAGTTGTTTCATATAATGTGCTCTCACCTGAAAAAAATAATTAAATTAAATACAATATTTAATCACCAAGGCTGAGCATTAACGAATTCAAAAGTTAGAAGTTAAGTTTATTTTAAGATTTCTTTACCATCGGCCAACTTCATCCTAAGTTTCCCTATTATGTATTGACACGAAGCACGTGGATTATGTTGAGTAAGCAAAATGGTAAACCTATAACAATTAACAACGCTACCAGAACCACTGGCATCATTGCTTTCAGGCCAGGAACCTAGACCGAATAATTTCTTGAAGATTATATAAAAGTAGAACAGTTTCTTCCAGATTACATTATTTAAGGCGAAAATATTTGAAAGGCAAGGTATGAACGTAACTTTTAAAGATTCATCTATATCACATACAAAAAATAAAACCAACATCTACGCGATTCAAAAACGTTTTATCGAGGCCCATAAATGAGGAATTTATCTTAAATTTCACAGATTCAAGGACAAATTCACCATCACGTTTTTATCATAAATTTGTTTGGCACACACAACATAAGATGTAAAAACTAATAGAATATAATTTCCATATACAAATGACCAACAATTTTAGAAAAAAACACAAGGACAATTGAAATGTATTTTAGAATTAGATAATTAAAATATATTTTAAATAACTTAGTTCAGACTCGTTTTCTGTTATCAATGATTTGCAACTATAAACCATTACCGATATAAAGTACATAACCAGATTATTTATTCTGTTGTTTAATTTTTTTTTTTTAAAACAAAAAAAACAATCACAAAGGAACAACAATTAAACTCACCGTCATCAAGCTGCACTTGTCTTGATCTTATCATTTGACGTGGTAGTAATTTACGAGAACCATCGCGGCCCAAAAATGGTTTTTCCACTATTTGAATAAGTTCTATAGCTTTCTAAAAAAAAAATTTCATTATGTTAAGAAATTTATTATAATAAAATGATATACTTACAATTTTGTCTATGTTACCATAAATCAATGACTCCATAAACATATGCGAGAAAAACTGTTTCATAAATTCTTCAATATTGACAACGTTAACATCTGAAATTTACATGTTTTAACACACAGTACAGATTAATGATAGTACCTACTTATGATTATTTACCATAAATGGAAGATAATAATTCTTCAGGTGTCCATGCAGTTTCTGATAAGATTACAGTCTCATGGATTAATGCAATATTATGTGGTTGCACAATAGCAATATTTTTTAAATCCCTGATTTTCTATAAATTTAATTTAAAATTTAAAACTAAAAAAATATATTAAAAATATCAACTTACTTCTTCTTTTAGAATATCAAAACGTAATGGATCGATCTTGAATGCTAAAAGTTTTTCTATAGTTTTTTTTAACAAAATATGTAGTTTGTGACTAAATCCATTTAATAGTATCTATAAGTAATGGTTTTAAATATAAAACAATTATTTCGACTATATTTATCTAATAATATATTACCTTAAACCCATTACTACTTGGTTCTATGGATAAATGTAAACCAGCTCTAGTAGCATCCCATGTATACTCAGAAATATTGTCATTGATCAATCTTACGAAAAGACTCATAATATTACAATGGAATGGGTCAGTTATTACATTATGGCTAAGAAGAAAAAATATACAAGTAGGTAATTTAAAATAAAAACAAGAACCTAAAAATAATATTTATTAAAATGTATTAGAGTAAAATTTGATTAAAATAACATATGTCTTTTTATTGAAGTGTTGGCTAACAACAAGTTTTCTTACTGAAGATAGAGTATCATAGTATCTAAATTCAATAGATGTAATAGTGTGCTCTAACATAAAATACTATTAAAATCAGTTTTTCATTTTAATATATTATGTAAATTAAAGAAATTAAAAATATTATTATTATTACTAAAGATACATATAATACATTGATAACCATATGTATTGTTTCTATTTACAAAAACAATATGATATAACAAATATGCATTGGGCAGAGACAATTCTGTATTCCTAGTTTTAATATTGAATCCATGAAGATAAATGTAAACCAGTCCTAGTCACAACCTACGTGTAGTGTCAAAAAAACTCGTCATCAAACAATCTTATAAAAAATTTCATAATATTACATTGGAATGGTTTAGTTATCACAGTATGGCTTAAAAAAATTAAAGTAACTTGAAATATAAGTAAGTATCTATTAAAGCTTTACATGGTCCGGTCCAGTCTTATTTGACACGAGTTTCGATCTGAAATCGGATTTAGATGGTTCGTTGTTCATTGTTCAAAATAATTGTTTGAATAATTAATATTAGGCAATATATAATTTATATAAATTATAAAGTACTTAGTTGATAAAATACATGTTTGCATTTGAAGTAGGTATTAATTAACTAACACAAATCAATCGTAAACACATTAAGGTATTTATTAAATATTACTTGAAAAAGTCAACTGAAACAAATGCTTTAGGAACTCTGAATTCTGTATCTGTTTTAAACCAACTTCTTAAAATGAATGATTCGTGAATAACGTATGGTTGATCCGGTTCCTAAACAAGTACACAATTTAAAATACTATTAACTTAATAAAGTGTTACTTTGATTATTTACATTTGTATTAATTGGCACTAAACCAAAATCTGTAGCAATAAATTCGTTTATGAATGGCATTTTTAAATCATTGCATAAATCACCTTCTTGCCAATGCTAAATATAAACATAGGAAACGAAATAAATAAGTATGATTGTTAATAATACGATTTAAGTTATGAACAAAATTACATTTAATACTTCCATTGGTATTTTACTGATTGAATATGATGTTCCATAATATTTGTCTACAGTATCAGTTTTGTTTTGAAATACTTTGGAAACAACCGTCACTCTGAAATTTTATTTCGTTCAAATTTAACAAAAATGTTAGAATGATTTTACAGTAATTAATTTGTTACTAAACACCTGATTGTATATATTATGCTCAGTGGTCTGAATTTTCAAACCTCAATGGTGTACAACAAAGGTCCACCCATGGTACGATTAAGGTTGTAAATAAATTATCATGATATCCTATTCTGCGAGTTCCAGTTTGGTACTTGTGTTAGCAGGGACTAGGGAGCACCTTAATTCGCACATTCCTCTTAGTCCGCTTACAACAGCAGCCTACTTGTGATGCGAAGTATGTTAGAAAATAATTTTTTTTTTTTTAATTTCTACTCATCTGTGTAAAATTCGATGTTATTGCGTAACAAGGTTAGGTTATACCTTATATATTTGTTTTTAAATTGTGAGTGTAGCGAAGAATGTATTGGTTTTACTGAATTATTGGTTGAATTTTATTTAATTTTTTTAATTTAATATATCAATATCGATAAGATTTTAACAGAAAATTGTTCAATAAGAATCAGATTGTTGCCCTGCCTTTGATAAGCTAATTAAAGGTTTACTTATTTTTAAACTACTTATTATTTTAATTATACGGGGTACTAGATTTTATATTATCTAATATATAGTAATTAAAAAAAAATAATTCAATAGTTGTATTTTAAAACCATTTCTTAGAAAAACTTTATTTAAAATCCAGTAATCAAAATTTATATTCATAGTTACCTCATATTTTCTGGTCTAAAATATGACAAAAGATTTTCTATTAAATCTGGTCTCCATTCCTTTATGATATATTCTGCTGTTAAAACATCTTTTAAACCGTACTTCTAAACATAATAAATCAAAAATTGAATTATGTTAAATGTTTAGAAAAATAAATTTACAAATATTACTCACAATCAAACGAGAAGACAATCGAACGACATATTCTAATGGAGATTCTTTATCTTTGAATTGGAATTGCATTGCACTAATATTTTTATTTTCATCGTGGAACCATTTTTGAGGTCCTTCTCGTTTTAACATATTCACATACTATAGTAAAGTGGTTATTATTTTTTTAAATAAATATTTTGAAATTACCAGTATATTACTTGAAATATTAATTTAATAATGTCATCAACACAGTCAACTCCTTGTTCTGTCAAATCTACATCAATGTCAAAGAGCTCAATGCCCCTAGCTTCAAATTTATTACCAGCTGAAAGCTTGCTAGACCACCCTCTCTTTTTTAAAACTGTTAAAATACCTGAATTTCCTTCGTGACCAAATAAAGCACTCAAATATCTGTTGGGCTAATAAATATATATTTTATTAAATTCAAGACGAATTGTATTAAGTAACCAAATTTATTAGTTTTTACCATGCTCTTAAAAAACTTGGTCTGTTCTGGAACAAGAAAACTAATAGATAATACTCTTATATCTTTTACTGGAACTACAACTGTTTTAGTGGCCAATTGTTCTTCTTTATATATTGGGTCAGGCCAATAAGGTATATTTACATTTTTCTTTTCAATATCGCCGAATAAAGATACAACCATTTCTTCCAAAGTGTTCAAATCCTCTATGTATTCAAATAAAAAAAAAATGAACGAATTTTTTAATAACATAATTTTTTTTTTTTTTCAAATGAATACCTTTTCCAAGTACAGTTAAGTACATTAAATGGGACGAATACCATTTTGAATGAAACTCCAACAATTGTTTACGAACACTTATATTTTTCGAATTCGGAATATCCCATAATGTTTCTTTTGTACCTAATCATACACAGTGAATAATATTAAGTTTATTTTGTAAAATTATTGAAATTCATCAAAAAAATTAATGAGAAAATGAATCCAAGGTAAAAATCATATCAATATTACCGCAAACCTATAAAATTAAATTAAAACGTCAATCAGTCTAACACATAAGTGTATGGTTCTACATCAAAATATGTCCATTTAAAATTTATCATTAATTGTTTTTGATTGCAAATTGTGATTTCTAACATATTCAGGTATGTAAATTCGATGTTTTCAAAAAAAAAAAAAATTAGAGTTTAACACCATATTGAACATTAGGATGGCCACTTTAAATACCTTCCACTAATCTCTTTTTTTGTAAGTGAGACTCGCATTTGACTCATCAATAAGACTTATGGAATTAAATCACGTCACTGTTAAAATGTTTATTCAATTTTTAAACAAAATAAAGTTAAATGAAGCTAAATAAAATATGTATAAGCTTTGGTGAGTACTTGTTATCATCTCACCAACATAATTATGAAAAAAAAATTGTACGAAAAATATTTTTATACAAGTAGAATTACAATATTAGAATAATGCATTTATGGGCAGCATATAGTTCTAAAATAGTAAAAAAAATTACCAACGACAGTAGCTGACCCCAATATGGTTGGAATGAAGGCAAATGAGAAGAAAAAGAAGTATTATTTAAGTAAATTTATACAGGTTAGTTAATATATAATTTTGTAAAAGGGCGTAGAAATAAATAAATAAATATGAGAACTCTTTTACAAAGAAAAATTTTTTTTTTTATTCATGCTACAATTTGAAGCTATTTACAGCTTAATAAAAATTAATAGCCTTTATACATATAAAGGTATTTCTACAAATTTAAAATATTTTAGATCTTTCATATTATCTGATTTTTTCGAAAAATATTTGAATACATCGAAAATATAAATACGTTTCAGGGCGTTAGTAAGGTTTCTAGATAGGTACAATTATTTGGCACCTATAATTGTTTTATAAACATTTTTTACCTTGAAAATGAAAAATATAACATATTAACAAAAATGATTAAAAAAACAAATGTAATATTAGATTGTAAGTTCTATTAATTAAATTACTAATAATTAAACGGCGGCACAATTTACAACTACATCTACATATTTTTAATACTTATTTGTCCATATGATTAACGGAATAAATATCGGTTTATGTTTAGAAACAAGTAATTATAATGTGTTAGGATTCTGTCTACAGTGGAGTGCACGGTAGTTTTAAACATTTTCAAATTATTCTGGCGATTTTTAGTTATTTATAGCTATTTTCTATTTACTATTTATAGCATTTCGTTTAGTTTTATGTGATAAAATTGTCTTCGTTTCTCAATAAGGCTAGAGAGTATATTAGAAGATTCTTTATAAGTTGCACTTAGTACCACTAAATATAGATTGTTCAATAAGCATAATGTAATGTAATGTTTTTTTTAACGGATGGTAATTTAAACGTTTGCAGTTTATATTTCGATGAATCGTGGTAGAGTGGTGAATGTAATGCGTATACGAATAAATAGACCATTTTTAAACAGTAAATCCTTTTAAAGCAACATGTATTTGAAAATAATAGAATTTCCTTTAATACCTGCTCCAAAATGGTTAAAAGGATGATTTGGATCTGCGGTATTTTTTCGCAATTGTTTTAAACGCCGATTATCGTCAGCAACACCATTTTCATGTTCAGAATTAACAGCATTGATTTCTCTTTCTGTTGCACTTGTTGTGAACAATGGTTCAAGGAAAAATTGAGCGAACCTTTAACACACATATTAAAGTATACATATTTATTATAATACAAAATAATGTTAAGCATTAACAGAAATTTAGGTATGATATTTACATGTCCAACGATAGTTTAAGTGATTTTGTTTTAACAGAAAAATAAAAATTTGTATGGTCATTCGCTGTATATGCGTTATGAGATCCGCCATTTTGTGTTAAAAATTGTGAAAATTCATTTTCTGCAGGATACTTTTTTGTACCCATAAACATCATATGCTCACAAAAATGAGCCAAACCAGGTAGTTCTCTTGGTTCATTTAAA